CCCAGGACAGGAGCGTCATGTGTTTTACACACTGCCATTTACTGACATATGCCGAACTCCCATTTAGGAGTTCTCTGACTCAGGGCTGGGATTAGTGCCTCTGCAGCTATGATTTCACTGAGCGGGAGCTGGGGCCACGTTTTTCTCTCTCTCACGGTTTGATGAGAGAGGATGGCTGGAGCTGCTTTTCCATCCTATGAAAATCTTGGAGATTTTAAACATTTTCCCAGTCTCCAGTGGACAAAACCGAACCCTTTGGGCAGTTTTAATGACAAAGAAGAGAGCATGCGAGACCCTCCCCAGAACAGCTCAGCTGGGATGTACAGGACCCCTGGTGAAGTCTCTGTTGTGGGCCTCACTCAATTAATCAAAAAATTCAAACTTTGCTCTGGCTCCTACTGACATTGCTGGGCCCTTTTCTCTCGATCTCAGTCATGGGAACAGGGTTAGGCCCCAGATGGTTCTTATATAGAAAGGAAACCCTAAGCCGTCAGCAGGGCCAGGCTTATCCATGCAGTGGGCCAGGGGTCTCAAAGGAGGATGGTGCAATGGATGCGCTTGGCAACCTACCTTTGCATGTGCAGTTAAGTCCCTCTGGACCGCATGTTTGTATGAGCCATGCCCTGCATCTCATCTGCAGCTGCTAATGTGGCCCACGCCACATGAGTTGGGTGCTGAGACTCACTGATGCAGGTTTTGGATTCTTTTTGCAGTGCAGCCATACTTATGCTGAGAACAACTGCTTGGGGTTTTCACATCCCCAATGCAACAATGCACACCCTAGCATGGAACAAGCCCTGTGAAATGCACCTTGCAGTGACAGCAGGGGCCCCACATAAGCTGGGTCCAACTGGGGAAGTGTGATGCACATGCTCAAACAGTCCCCACATGGCTCCAATCCCCCAAACACTGACTGTCAGTCTGGGGCAGCTGACCCCTGGCACATGAACATGTCCACTGTATCACAGGGTTGGGTGCTGGCGATGCCTCTTGGAACCGATGTCCTGTCCTTGTGCCCTTGCTCCGAGCCCCGAAGCCTGGAGCTGTGGATGGCTGGAAGCCTCTTAGCTGCCAAGTCTGCAGAACAATTCACGCGGGGACTTTGAGACTGACGTGCATGGTGAGAGCAGAGGGCGGATGAGGAAGCTGGGTGAGATTGGCCTGAGGAGGAAGTGCTGTGACGTGTATCGTCACTGCTGCATGGGCCAGCAGCTGCCTGCTGCCAGACCAGTGCCCAGGGCTGAAATCCGAGGGCTTTAGGCTTTGTCAGGCAATTTACAACCACAAGTTGCCAGGACGCCTCCCTCTCTCGCCCTGACTGTTTGGGGCATTTACTTTGTAAACACTGAACACAACTCCGTGCCAGTCCTGTGCTACCAAGCCCCTTGGTTCTGCATGCTCAGGGGATGAGGCTGGGTTTCAGTGGCCAGCCTGGTCCCATGGAGCATGATGTCCCGGATTGCACCTCTTCCCTGGCCTCCTGCAGCACCAGCCAGGTGGCTGAGGGCTCAGGTGCCACACCTGAAACCCAGCCCCAGACACTGAAGGCTCACACGGACTCCTGGACTCACTTAAATGCACCTTAAATGCCATGTGTCTTGGCCAGTGTCCAGGGAAAGCTGTCCCCAGCTCAGAGTGCAAAGCTAAGCCCTTGCACGACAGCTTGTGCAAGGCCTAGAATGTATCCAAAGGAGCGGTCTAGGACCCTGTCCTGGCTGGGGAGTGCAGGCACCCTATGAGTTTAGCCAGGGCCGACTCCAGGGTTTTGGCCGCCCCAAGCAGCCAAAAAAAAAAAAAAAAGCTGCAATCGCGATCTGTGGCGGCAATTCAGCGGAAGGTCCTTCGCTCCGAGTGGGAGTAAGGGACCGTCCGCCGAATTGCCGCCGAATAACTGGACCTGCCTCCCCTCTCCGGAGTGGCCGCCCCAAGCACCTGCTTGCCAAGCTGGTGCCTGGAGCCGGCCCTGAGTTTAGCCCCCCCTAGAGAAGAGGCATGGGGATGAGTCCACAACTCTGCCTCCCCTCCACACTGACCAGCAGCAGCTGGGCACAGGCAAACCAAATGCTGCACCCTCTCAAATGGGGACAGAGCACCCCAGGGAGCATGACAACCTCTGAGTCCCCCCATTTCTGGGCCATCTGCATGCATTGCACCAATCTGCTTGCTGAGCTCAGGGACCATGACACTTGGGGCAGAGAGCTCTCAGCACACGGGCTAAGCATGGTGGGCTGTAGGGAGCAGGGTCAGTATTGAGCTAGGCCCCAAGCATGGGCATTATGGGCACCATTTTGCTGGTTGTCAGAGGGGATGTACAATGGAGAGCCTGAATCCCTGGCACTTCCCACAAGAGGAGCGGGCTGCAGATCCTGGTTACCTGGCCGTGCTCCAATTTGGATAACTAAAACTCTGCCTATTTGCCGCCCCTTTTGTGCCACACAGTGGGTGCAGAACACCCCTGTGCTGTCCAGCTGTGCAGACCTGCTTGTGCAGCAGTGGGTGCCGTTCGTGCACTCAGTGGCCCCATTCTACTCTGTTCCACCCATGCAAGCCTGTTGGCCACAGTGAAGGCACAGGGCCATAATTTGGGCTCTCTGCACAGCTCATTGGTAGCCTTTCTCAGCCCTTTTCATGAAACAGCTCATGGCGAGGTTGTTTCCTAGAGCCCCCCCCATTCACTTTCACAAGCCTACACCAGCCCCAGAGCAGTGATCACTAGCAGGGACAAGGCACACTAGGGGATATTTTATATGTGCACATATTGAACCTTCTTTGAATGTGACTGAGCAGATGGGAGAAAGAGCCAGCCCCATGTGACCATCCATCTCCCTACAGTTCCTCCAGCAAGGCACCAGCCACAGCATGAGACCCTCTGCTTTAGGATCATAGAATCATAGAATATCAGGGTTGAAGGGACCTCTAGTCAACCCCCTGCTCAAAGCAGGACCAATCCCCCTTGCCCCAGGTCCCTAAATGGCCCCCTCAAGGATTAAACTCACAACCCTGGGTTTAGCAGGCCAATGCTCAAACCACAGAGCTATCCCTCCCCCCGGTGGATGTTTGTTGTGTTTGTTGAAAGTGTTTGTTACCTACCACTATATATGGGTAGCTAGGTGTTTGGGCCCCTGCGCGCAGCCCAATGCCAGATGACACATGATTCTCATGGGACTTCCCCAAAAGATGGCATGTAATAGACCACTGGAAAACTAACAACTCACTGATCATTAATATTCCTGTGTGATGCAAGTATGGTTAACCCACATGGAACTTCACAGATGTGCTGGAAATATGTGACTAAAATGTCAGGGGCTTTGAGAAACAGGTTTTCTTTAGGCAAAGGAAAAAGGCTAACCCAAGTGTGGCCAAATTCAGTAGGTTGCCATTTGTGTCGGGTTGCAGGAAGAGAACATTTGCACTGTGAAAATCACCAGCGAGGGAGGAACCAGCCTGGAGTCTACACCAGACAGCATGGCATCCACACGCAGCAAGAGAAATGCACTTTACCCATGTCCAAGGGTTACTGGGCTATACAGAGAGGGGGGAGCAAACCCCTAGGTTATCTGTCTCCTGAGGGACCAAAGTAACCAGAACTTTGATTGTGTCAGGGTGGATCCCAGCCAGTCTCGCTGGAGAACTTGCTGTATGTAGGGAACCCATCTTGAACGATAACTAGAGCTGTTAGTCACAGAAGTGTGTTTTACTTTTGTTTGTTTGCAACCATTTTTATCTTTAGTCTTTCAACTTGGTATCACTTAACCCTCCACCGTTTTGTTAATAAACTTGTTTTACTTTTACCATAAACCCACTCAGTGCTCTGTTTGAAGTGGAGGGTTTGTCAGCTCACGTTAAGTTAATAAGCAGCTATGTATGGTTTCTTTAAAGGAGCAGCAAATCTGATAAGGTTTGGTGAGCGCTACAGACAGAGAGGCTGAGCAGTGCACAGCGACGTCTCTGAGGAACTCAGGAACTGGGGTTAACTGATTGTTACCAGGTTTGGCTGGGCAGAGTCCTGAAGAGTTTGCTGCCATGGCAGACAAGCTGGTGTGCCAGGGAGCTGACACATAGCTTAGCAGCAGCAACGCTCTCACTTGCTGAGGCTGAGGGTGTAACACAGGGGCGCACAGTTCTGGAAACTCCAGCAGCTTGCCACAGTTTGATTTGCCCTCAAGAGCAAGTGTTTGGGTAGGTCTAACAAACAACACAGAGCTCTACTGCAAGAGCAGCTCCCCCCAACTCCCATTCTGCCCAGTCAGCCCTACATGGCCAGGCTGTGGGGGTTTTCTAATAGGGCAGCTCAATTGGGGTCTCTCTTGTGCCTAGGAAGGGATCCTGGGAAAAGCACCTGGATTGTTGTGAAGGATTATAACAGGAGACCCTCGTCTCCCCTGGTTATACAATATCAGAGTCCCGCACTGGAATCTCAGCTTTACGTTTGCCCCACACAAACTCTTGTGATTGTCTCCGCTGTGATTATCTAATTTACTGCCGTGATTTCGTCTCACTCACTAAAGTGTCTAAACAGGGCTACCTCACTTTGTGATGTGGCTACTGGGGCTTTGGATTAGTTAAGGCATCTTGGTTGCTAGTTCACATATCAGCATAACAGCATTCCCTCCCCCCAACCCCCGACATGAAACAGCCTGCGATGTGGCTTCAGAGTTCCAGCTGATTTTGAGTAGAGAAAAGAGAGCCAGTTGACAGAGAAAAGGTGATTTGAAAAGATTGCATGTGAAACTGATGAGGAGTGGAACCCTGCTCTGGGAGCTGTGGCCTTTGGTTTTAACATGACTGACTTCTGTATCTTCAGCTCAAGTGAGGGGTCCCTCTAAGGTTGATATAATGTCCAAAGATGAGATTACCAGAATGAGTGCGATGTCAGATGTGGTAGCAGCTCCTCCATACACAAACATGGCCAGCAGTGTATATATACACATTAACAAAGAAATTGCCAAAAAAAAAAAAAACCAACCCAAACCCCAGTTATGTTACATATGAAGAGAAAGTATGACAGGTTTCACTGTAATCAGATTTTCACCACATCCCAAATCAGATACAATGGATTTACTATGATAAAAACATCCAGCAGCCGCAGAGCTCTGCATGAGGCAGAAATATAAATGACAAATGAACTACCTGCAATTACTTGAACCGGCCCCCTCCGATCCTGCTACCTGCTTCCAACAGGATGACAGAAAAAGGAAGAAAGCATTTCTATGTTAATTTCCAACCATGGGCAGCAGAGGCTGGATAGGCTCAGATTGGCTGGAACTATCGCAGCGTCATATGACACCGGGCATTTTCACCAATGGGATTGCTCGCTAATGGGTGGGAGGCAAAGGCCATGATGCAACAGGGGAGCTTTGAGGATCCATTTCCATCTGCAGAGGACAGCTCTCTAGTGCAGGGGCCTGACTTCCGCAGTGAAGGAGCCAGGCTTTGCTGCTGGACTTAGCACAGGACAGCAACTGTCCACACTGACAGACATGTTTGGGTTTTGCTTTTAACAACCAGCAGAGAGGAATGCAAGCGATGAACCCCAGGCCAGTCAGCTTATTGAGCTGGCCTTCCCATTTCCATTCTCCCAGACAAGCTCTCTGCAGTGCCCTCCTGCCTGTCACTGGTACAGTTCTTCAGAACCCCAATGTAATTAGTGCAATTTCCTCAGGTGCAATGTCACATGAATGGCTCTTGTACTCCGAGTTAAAGGATGTGGCAGAGTCTCCAACAACGATCCCATCTAAACAGCGACAGGGCCAGCTGAAAAGCTTGGCCCCTATTTTTCAAATGTTAAAATCCATCTACAGCATGCAGGCGTCTGTTTGAGACAGCTTCCGTCACAAGCAGTCCCCCCGTTGGGAACACTCTGGGTCAGTACAAAGGGGGCATTATGTGCCTTTGAAAAAATCAACTTGAAAATGGCAATTTATCTGCTTAAAATGATTCTGGGCTTAGCTGCAGGGCAAGGCAGGAATGGCGATGTGAATTCCCCACACACCACCATCAGCAGCTTGGGCCAGCAGGAGCAAATAGAAATCTTCCCTCAGCTCTGAACTGATGCATCTCACACTGCAATTTATGGGCAAACAGCACAGGGCCTTCTGTGGAAAGCTGCCTAGACCAGAGACAGGGAACGAAAAGACCTTTCTGATTCCCAACATAGCACAAGGTGGCATATAATTTTTCCATATTACCCCCCACCCCACACACCCTTTCATTAGGCAGCCAGTCATCATAAATGTTGAATACTGAAAGGGGAGAAAAGTCAGGTTCATTTTTATACACCCTGTGCCTGCAAGAAGGTATCAATCTTCTGCTGATCCTGATGGCAATTTAGTGTTAATGAAAAGTATCCCTCAGCACAGCTCATTCAAGGCTCTGCAGCACATCAGCTGGCATGGTAACCTTTTATGATCAGCCAGCCACAGATCTCATCTGACATAGCTTCAGGGGCCACATGCACACCTCATCCTGACTCACCCCAAAGAACAACGGCATTCGGTAGACTGTCCATGAGCTGGGGAGGCTGCTTAATGAGCTTCAGAGGGGCCTGTATCAGGCAAGAAAGCTTCCAGAGAGAACCGAAAGATGGGAGCACATCAGTTCGAGTCGGGGCACCTCGGATAGCTGAGGGCCGGCAGGAGGGAAGGAGGCATTAAGTGAACCCAGATGAGTCACAAGGGGCAATACTGGGTTTGGTTCACAGGCTGCCTGGCTTCAACCCGCGACCTCAAAGCCTAGCAGCAGGACTTTACAGCAGCCAACGGTCCAGTGCACACGTCACACTTCACTCCATCTGAGCCAAACCACCCTCTCTCTGACCTCCACTCCTGAAACTAGGCAGGAACCTCCCTCCAGCCAGGTGAGCCATGCTCTGCCCACTCCATCCTAACACTAAGTAGCGCACACACACTAAGACTACCCCTGGATCAATCAATCCACTTGCTCCCCGGAGGCTTGGCTATGAGGTAGGTTTCTGATCAGCAAGGTCCAGAGGTCTCTTCCTGTTTGAAACAAGGAAAAGTTAAGCAGAGTTTTAAGCCACACAAGGGCAGTCAGGCAACTTCTCCTGTCCTGGATCACACGGCCCCATGCAACAAAACTAAGGAGAGACTAACAGAAGGGACATTCCAAAGAACACACTGAACCTGGCCCCTGGACCGGCACTAGCCAATACTGCCAGCCTGGTGCTTGGCTGGACAAAAGAGCCAAACCTCGTTCCAAAGGAGAGACTTCCCAAGATACGGAGGTTTTGTTAGCGCCAGTTCTAAAAGCTGGTTGGATGCTGGGTCCCTGGCAGAACAGCACCAGCTGTGTGTGAAAGAACCAGACTTTAAAAGCCAGTAGACTGATATTCAGACAGCCATGTCCACAGCATGGAATGAGGGTCTGCAGCAGCACCGGCTCTGGTGTGGAAGGCTGCAAACCCAGGCTAGACCTGCCCACAGCTGCAGAAGCAGCTGGAACCGAGACATCGTAAGTCGCACATGCTGGTGACGGCATTCCCTTTGCACCTATGAAAGTTAAGACATTGCCTATCCCTCTCCCAATTCAGATCAAAGGCTCCACGAGGCAGCTTTCTGTGTGCTTTGGGCACTGTCTCCCCATGACCTGCGGTTCCTCTGACACATGCAGGCCCATCCTCCCCTGCCCAGCTCCTGTTGTCATTCACAGCTATCTACGCAACACGCTCCCCCAGCATCAGGAAGGGAAGAGCTGAGGATTAGCAGAACTTGCCCTTGCTCGGTCCCAGCGTAAGTGATGATGCAAGGTGCCTTCCAGGGAGGGTCAGACCAGCTGGGATTCATGGGGAACAAAAACCTTGGGCAAGTCTCTGCATGAGAGGGGGCAAAGTTACCCAAACATAAAGGTCCGGGGACTGGATTCTGATCTCCGCCCCATAGGTTAACTTCAGAGTGAAAGGAACAGCTCTGCATTGACTCCAGAGGCGACCCCAAGAACCAGCCAGCATGGGACAGAGAACGAGCTAGACGGACTTTGCCCGGCCAGGCTGCCTTGCTTGCTATCAGCGCTCATATTTGGTCTTCTAGATTTTACTCCCTTGTAGCCCCCAGTCACCCTCACACCAACACAACGTACAGAGGAGAAAGTGAATTCTGATCAGGGCTGTGTGCAGAGGCATAAATAATGGATACAGTCCTTGTACACTACAGTAGTTATACACCCCATGGCCCACTGGCTCTCTCCTGCTTCTCTGGAGATAGTGCTGTCTGGCCAGCTTCCACTCCTCCTGCCTGGCGGCAGCAGCAGCAGCAGCAGCACCAGGTGATACTGGGCCCTTTCCCCACTCCCAACACACACTCTTTCCAGGGGGATGGCCTACATTAAACCAGTGCATCCTCTGGCCAGACGCATCTCTACCATGGAGCATGACCTAGCCCAGCCTCAAGAAGTAGCATTGCATGATGGGGCCTGTGCTCTCCACAGGCCCCAGATGGGCACTGGAGGGGACAGACACCTCAGCTTGCTCCATTTCACAGATCAGATATTAACCAGAGCTGGGCTTGGCTGGGGCCTCCCTGATGTATAATGACAAAGGGCCTCCCAAAGGAGGCAGTTATAACGGAAGAAGAGGGAGCACTGGGGGGAGCCGGATTTCAGGTCTGAGCGTCCCCCCGAGCGGGAGGAAGCGTGTGCCCCTGTCAACTAAACACACCAGCCACACCCCGCAGGCGAAGCAGCTGGATGGCTCTCTTAGAGCGGGTTCCACTTTCACAATTTGCATACTGTTGAATGGCTCTTGAGGTTGGCTGCAGCCGCCTGTCTGGGTGACATTGAAAGCCACGCTGCTTATGTGACGGATCCTTCCTGAGATGCGGCCGATTGCAGCCCCCCATCTAAATGGCGATGGTCAATGGAGCTGGTTGGTGCTCAAGCTGGCCCCTACCAGGCCACACCCTGCTCTGCCCAGGATCCCCTCCCTTGCCCACACTCCTAGGGGGCCCTGGAACAAGCACTGCCCACATCCCCCTTCACTCACTCCCAAACAAGCCCTGTGACAGTCCAGCTGTAGGAACGCCATCCCGCTACAAAGGAGTTTCACAAGCCATATTCCCGCACACACAGAGCTCAGTCACAGAGTTTATGTCAATCGCTTTTAAAGTTTTGTTTTTCCCTTAAAAATGAGATTCCTGTGGGAGGTGCTCACTCGCCAAGCGTTATTTCTCTGGCGTCAGGGCCTGCTTTCCAACCCAGCTTTCAGAAGCCCCCACAAACATTTCCTGTGATCCACTGTGGAGCATGACAGGGGTTGGCTGCTGCTTAGTGGCAGGCTTTCATCCCTGATACGTACGGGGACTCCTGCGGTCGGCAGTTACACTCCTGCTGCTCCGGGTAATCGATGAAGTCTGGAGCAGGCAGGCCTGACAGGATCATCAAAGATTTGTTCCAGATGGTAAACGTTGGACACACCGGCAGGATGAAGGAAACGTTGAATGTATGCAGATGGAGAGAACTGGCCGGGTCGTAGAAGGACAGGGTGTTGTTGTCATAATCCAGGAGGATGCCCAGGCGCTTCATCTGTGGGTGAACGTCCACCAGCATCTCCTTGTTGTTGTGTCTCACCACAAAGTTGCTGTTGCAGCGGGAGAAGACCCAGGATGAGGAGTTCTTGCCAATCCACTCATTCTTTGGGGCTGATTTATAGGCGATGCCAATGGCGTACCTAGGAGAGGGACACACGTTACTGACCTAGACCCTCCAGAATGCACAAACCATGTCCCGGAGGGCTCATCCAGCCATCAATTTAAAATTTGCCCTAAAATGTACATGGTTACTCCAATTCCCTTGAAATTTGGTACATCTCGTGGGTACATGGGGTTTGGTCAGTGGCCCAAATTTGGGGACAGTTGACCAAGGGGTTCCCAAGAAGAAAAAAACTCCCAGCTTTTCTTAAAGTTGAGAGATTCAGGCAATCTTTTTTTTTTGCTCAAGATAGAGATCAAACCAAGGGTCAGCTCATCGCACCAATGCTCAAAGACAGAGTGTATGGCACCTGATGGCCCTTTGGGGGAAATCAAATTACAGTGTCATTTCAAAAAGATTTTGCTTGTCTAGTTAAAATTTTCACAAGCCTCAAGTGCTCATTCTAGCTCCTACTGTATTACACTGAGCACGTGCAGAGAGAGAGGCTACCCATCTGGAAAACCAGTACTACCGCTACATCACAGGACCTGGGTGGCTCTGAGGGTGTGTTTTGGTCATTGAATCTGAGCACCGCCCCAGGCACCGGCAATTCAAACACAACCCAGAGCAGAAATCTGGAATTAAAAAGGGAGGCATATTGCTCTGTCATCGAGAATTTCTGATTTGGGGAAATGGAATCGAAGCACAGCAGAATATTCAGAAGGTGATGAAACTATTTTTTGAAAAGAAAGTATGCATGCAAGTCCTCACTGGGAAAGGAGGGGTATCCAGGGATGGAACAGTAGGTGGTAATAGGGGGAAGAGGGGTTTGGGTCTGCAGTGAGGGATGGGGGTATTATGGTGAGCGATGAATGGGTGGTGGGAAGCATGAGGGTTTGGGAGGCTCAGATAAGGGGGGAGGTATTGGGGGAGTAGGAGAGGAGAAGACAGGAGAGGTTGGGGAATATGAGGTGTAGCAGAGGAAGTTGGGGGTTTAGGGGTGGGGCTTTCAGCCTTGAATTCTCCCCTTCCTTGTGTGTGATGGGAGTGGGGGAGCCCTATGCCTCTGCAAGGGGACTGAGCCCCCTACCTGTTATATCCTCTGAAGTCTGGGGGACACTGCTCCCCCTGGGATGTCTGAGTCCGTCTCCCTGCACCTCTATGTGAGCTGGGATCTGGGGTGCAGGGAATGAAGGCAACAAATTTAAACATCTGAAATCCAGAAAATTAATAGTTAAGATACATGTTTCCCCTGTGTGGGGTGAGGGGTGAAGGGTGGGAGGGCTAGGGGCATGGCTGGGGAAGCCTGGCTGAAGCAGGGACAGGAGTCCCAGCTGTGTGTGTGTGTGTGTGGTAATGGGAGTGAGGGGCCCAGCTCAGTGTGCAGCTTGGGCTACAGAACCAGGTAGCATGAGGCCCTCCAGTAATAGTCTGTGACGTGTGCACAGCAGTGCAGGGCAGGAGTCAGCAAGGAGTAACTTCAGACATGTCCCTGGTTTTTGCAGGGCCAGCTCATGGCTTAGTGGGACGGGAAAGGGAGGGGGAGGAATAAGTGTTGAAGGTGAGGGGTGGGCAGGGGGTGGAGAAAGAGACATACCAGCCTGCTCTCACTTGCTGACAGGTCAGTTACTGTAACAAGCCTGCCATAAAGCTGTCAAGGTTTGGGACATAGAGCATGGATGGGATTTCTCTAGGGCCCTGTTAGCAGCTACACACTGCAAACCTTTCAAAGCCAGACCATTCCAGTATAACAAACCATACAGGAGGGGAGGGAGCACTGAGGAATAACAGGGCAACCATGTATCCAGGTGGAGAGATCACTGGACTGGAACTATTGCTAACTCTGCCACTGGCTGGGTGACCTTGGGCAAGTTGCCTCTCTGTGCCTCAGTTTCCCTTCTGTAAAATGGGGGTAATGCTCTAAAGTTCTCTGAGATCTATTGATGAAAAGCACTAGATCAGAGCTAGGGCTTTTGATTATTACCTAGGCACAGTAGCATATCAACTTAACAACGAGGTGAGAATACAACGGCCTAAATGACCAGTAGCTCCTACCAACAAACACGTTTCTGTTTAAACAACTAGGAAACTAAATAGAAAAAACCCCTTCGCTAATGCAGAGTTCAGGCTGCCGAGTGATACCTTGTGCCAGGCTCAGCAAAACTCAAACCTCTGAAAACCAGGAAATACAGAGATAAGGTAAACGCCTGCACAGCCTTAACTCTGCCCTCTTTGAGTGATGCCCCAACACACCCATGACACACTCACTCCCACTCTGCCTTGTCACAGTAATGGCCAGGCACTACCTATACCTATTCTGTGCTCAAACACCGTTCCCCCCACAGAACACCACACCTGTCAAATAGGGGCAGCTCTATGTATTTTGTCGCCCCAAGCACGGCAGTCAGGCGGCTTTCGGCGGCTTGTCTGCAGGAGGCCCACTGGTAACGCGGATTTGGCGGCATGCCTGCGGGAGGTCTGCTGGTCCCGCGCCTTTGGTGTACCCGCCGCCAAATTGCCGCCGAAACTGCGGAACCAGCGGACCTCCTGCAGGCATGCCGCCGAAGGCAGCCTGATTGCCGCCCTCACGGAGACCGGCACAACGCCCCCCGCGGCTTGCCACCCCAGGCACGCGCTTGGTGCGCTGGTGCCTGGAGCCGCCCCTGCTGTCAAATGTAACAACCACTTTGTACCCTTCTACAGCCCCTTCACACCTGCACACAGGCTACCCCTAAACCTGGACTTTCCCCATCCCATCATTCAATCCAGCCTGCTCTCGTATCCCACCCCAGTAGCCTACTCCTGACACAAGCTGCACAGTCCTGTACAGACATGCTGCAGACTGGACCCTCGCAGTCCACGGGCCCCTTTCCTTTCATCACACACATGGGGGGGAGGGGAGAAGGGTTCAGACACACTCTCCTCACATCACAATCACAACTCTCCCAAGCAGCTCCAACTTACTCCTCCCCCGTTCACTGCAACTACACATAACAGACAGGTCTCAAAATGTAATTGTAACGGGGGAATCATCATCGAGTGGTTCTGTTTCCAGTGGGGGCCAGCAGGGCTCGGGTCTTCGCCTTACGCTATTTAATATTTTTAGTAGTGAACTGGAAGAAAACATAAAATCCTCACTAATAAAATTTGCAGATGACGCAAAATTTCACGGGGGAGGGGAGATAAAGAATGAAGAGAACAGGTCACTGATACAGAGCGATCTGGATCGCTCGGTAAACTGGGTGCAAGCAGTGTGTTTTAATATGGCTAAATGTAAATGTATTGTCTAGGAACAAAGAATGTCAGCCATATCTACAAGGTGGGGAAGTGCTATCCTGGGAAGCAGGGACTCTGAAAAAGATTTTTTTCTGGGGGAGGGGAGAAGGTGTTGGATAATCAGCTGAACATGAGTGCCCAGTGTGACGCTGTAGCCAAAAGAGCAAATGAGCTCCTGGGATGCATAAACAGGGGAATCTGGAGTAGAGAGGTTATTTTACCTCTGGATTTGGCATTGGTGCAACTGCTGCTGGAATCCTGTGTCCAGTTCTGGGGCCCACAATTTCTGATGCAGGTTGAAAAATTGGAGAGGGTTTAGAGAAGAGTCATGAGGATGAGTAAAAGGTTAGAAAACCTGCCTTAGAGTGATAGACTTAAGGAGCTCAATGTATTTAGCTTAACAAAGAGAAGGTTAAGGAGTGACTTGATAAGTCTCTAACTATCTACATGGGGAACAAATATTTAATAATGGGCTCTTCAATCCAGCCGAGGAAGGTCTAACACGATCCTAGTTGAAGCTAGACAAATTCAGACTAGAAATAAGGTGTACATTTTTAACGGTGAGAGTTCTCCTTGTGTCTTAGATGGGCGGCCTCTGGGCGTGATCAGCACACTAATAATACAGGAGAACTGAATGCACTCTTCAGAATAAACATAAGAATGGCCATACCAGGTCAGACCAATGGGCCATCTAGCTCAGTATCTTGTCTTCCAATAGTGGCTAATGCCAAGCGCTTCAGAGGGACTGAACAGAACAGGGCAATCATTGAGTGATCCGTCCCCTGTCATCCACTCCGAGCTTCTGGCAATCAGAGGCTAGGGACACCTAGAGCATGGGGTTGCATCCCTTACCATCTCGGCTAATAGCTCAGCTAACCTCCATAAACGTATCTAGTTCTTCTTTGAACCCTTCACAACATTCCCTGGCAAGGAGTTCCACAGATTGACTATGTATTGTGTGAAGAAATACTTCCTTTTGTTTGTTTTAAAACTGCTGCCTATTAATTTAATTGGGTGACGCCTGGTTCTTGTGTTATCTGAAGGAGTTAGGGTGACCAGATAGCAAGTGTAAAAAACTGGGACAGAGTGTGGGGGGTAATAGGCGCCTGTATCAGAAAAAGCCCTGAATATTGGGACTGTCCCTATAAAATCGGGACATCTGGTCTCCCTAGAAGGAGTAAATAACACTGCCTTCTTCACTTTCTCCACACCAGTCATAATTGTATAGACCTCTATCATATCCACGCTTAGTCACCTCTTTTCCAAACTGAAAAGTTCCCATCTCTTTAATCTCTCCTCATATGGATAATGCTAATAATTTTTGTTGCCTTTCCTTGTATCTTTTCCAATTCCAATATATCTTTTTTGAGATGGGGTGACCAGAACTGCACACAGCATTCAAGGTGTGGGGGTAGCATGGATTTATATAGAGGAATTATGATATTTTCCATCTTCTCATCTACCCCTTTCCTAGTGGTTCCTAACATTTTGTTCACTTTTTTGACTGCTGCTGCACATTGAGTGGACGTTTTCAGAGAACTATCAACAAGGACTCCAAGATCTCTTTCTTGAGTGGTAACAGTTAATTTTAGACCCCAACATTTTATATGTATATTGGGATTATCTTTTCCAATGTGCATTACTTTTCATTTATCAGCACTGAATGTCATCTGCCATTTTGTCGCCCAGTCACCCAGTTTTGTGAGATCCCTTTGTAGCTCTTCACAGTCTGCTTTGGACTTAACTATCTTGAGTAATTTTGTA